TCGAACTCACAGACCGCGAGATCATGACCTGAGCCAAAGTCTGACGCTCAACCGACTGAGCCACCCAGGCGCCCCAAGTTCTCCCTAGGTTTGATCAGTTTTGATAGTAAAAGTATTGGGCCAAAAAGCAAAAAGACCTTCCCCTGAAGACTGCTAGTAGGCCAGCTAGAAGTGCATCACATGCCCATGCCTAAACCAAGCCACTGGCAGAGTAGGAGATCGGGTCACAGTGACAACCATCAGGATCAGCTCTCTCAGAGACAGTCGGTAGCTAAGCCACTTTAGAAGAAAGGGAAAGGGAACACAGCTGTCAGTAATGTTTGTTGTAGTATTCTTTATTAATTTTAAGCCAGAATTACTTCTTAAAATTGATTCTTTACATAGATAAAAGTTTTATATAATTGAAAGCTACAATTGAATAGTATTTCATACATTCAAATTTTAAAGTATCCTTGTAAGATAGCTTTATTATTCTCACAAGGTTTGTCCTTGATTTTTTTCTTTTATATAACTGCTTCCTTAGATGTTACATTCTTGCAAGTTTGAAACTTCAAATTTTTTTCTCTTATTCCTTTTTGCAGGTTATCCGTACTTTAGATCCTAAGCAGAATCAAGGAGCAGCACCAGAAATACAGGCTCTTAAAAATCAGCTCCAGGAACGGGACCGACTGTTCCATTCTTTAGAGGTAGGTAGTTTGCTATACTATACAATAACAATAAGGTATTCGATTTTTGATTCTTTATTTTCTAGGAGCCTTGCTGTATACAATTGTGTCCATGAATTTAGCTAATTACATTTTATTAATATTGTTTTTCATCTTTACATGTTTACATGTGCTTATTTTTTAGAAAGAATATGAGAAAACAAAGAGTCAAAGAGAAATGGAGGAGAAATATATTGTTAGTGCCTGGTACAATCTGGTAAGGAAATAACACTTCAAAACATATTGCAAAGTTCAATGAATATGTAATAATTATTATACTACCTTTATTATAGAAATAATTCTACTAAATGAATCTGAAAGTAATTGCTATCCTAACACACACTAACAAAACCTAATGCTGATCTTAGGACTGAAAAGCAGAAATGAGAACCACTATAAGCAGGGTTACGACGTTTTGAACACATCACTATTCCTACAGCATAGAAAGATAAATGATGTTGATTTCTATCCCTCGGAACCATTTTATTCCAGGGGAAGGGGACTTTAATAACATCTAAACACAGATGCAGTAGCTTTTATTTTGTGGAATGATTTCATTGCCTTTGCAGGACAACAACATTCTGGGCTTCAGTAACACTTTCTGGATATAAATAGCTGTGAATTTTGAAGAATGCTGTACTTTTTTTTTCAATATTTTGTCCTAGACTGGTCTTTTTTTCTTCTTTGTTTTTCTTCCCAGTAAGACCACTTCTGCCTTGTCAAAATGTTAGTTGCCTAAGGCAGGAAATTGAGCCAGATTTTTTTTCATCATCCCCCTGTGACCCTATAGTTATGTTATTGTTGTTTCTGTTTTACAGTTGTAACTGATACTGTGTCTTCAAGGGTAATGCCCCAGGTTTCCTAATAATGTGATTTTATGTTTGTCAGAAACTCAGACAATTTCATGATTTGTCTATATTTGCCTTGGTTAAAACTACATATTTCAAATCTTATCATAATTTACAAAAACAAAGGAAGAAACCAAATTAGTTTAGACTACTATTATTAACAAATATAGACTTCTTAAAAATTAAAAAATAAAAATAGGGGAGAACTACCTAAGGAAGTTCTCTGGGAGTTAGTTCTGAGTCCACCTCTTCTGTGTCCCCTTTGTCCTCTTTAAAGGTTGGTGTTAGTGATCTTGGAACTCTGCCCCTCAATACTTAGTAGTCATTTCTTAAGTTTTGATTGATTTATATGACTTCACATATTGTGGTTATAGAACCAAATTTATTTATTCTTTGACATGGCATTAAAGAACATTTTTAGCTCTCCAGAGAGTAAAGGAGTAACTCCAAATAGTCTCACACAAGTTATGTTCTAGTTAGGTAGCCACACATACATTCAGAAAATTCTACATCTCAGACTACTGAATGGAAGGGGAGGTGACAGGCACTGGGAAAAGGCATTAAGTATCTCAGAGAATTGCCCAGTTGTGGCTATTGAGGTCTTAAAGGTGTGTGAAGAACTTGAATAAGTTGCTTGAAATGTGAAAATGAAAAAAAAAAAGTTTATTTTAAATAACTTGTTAATATATGTAGCCAAATTAATAAATTAAAGATTACCAATAGATATTTGTTAGTTTTCTTCAGATTCTTAAATGCTTTGATTTCAAATTGAGTAAAAAAACATGTTCTGGGTTTTCTCATTGGGAAAATGGAGAAGTGTTATGTATTTGGGTATACATGACAGATTCTGTTAAAGATACACAGCCATGGCCAGTGTTTTCCCTAGAAGCTAACTAGTGATAGGAAGATTGATTGCTTAGTCTTCTGTCTTCTGTGCCAGTCTTTCCTTTCTCTAGGAAAGCCCTAGGACTTTTCACATTGCTTGGCATATGTACCTGCTCTCCTTTTATTTATTTTTTTTTTGTTTTTATTTCTTTATTTTTATTTTTTTTTTATTTATATATGAAATTTATTGTCAAATTGGTTTCCATACAACACC